TCTGAGTGGTTTTCAAGGCAAAGGATGTTTGTGTTTGTTCATTCATTCAACAAGTAGTTACTGAGTTCCTGCTGCAAACCGGGTATGTTCTAGTCGTGAAATAACTACACAAAGATCCCTGCCCTCATGGAGCTTATATTGTAGTGCAAAAACAGAGACAGTGAACATCCCCCGCCCCTTGGGTATATCTGTCTCTATTTTATATATAAACATAAAATTTTGTGTAGATAAACATTGTGTACATATATCTATATACATAATTTTATATAGAAGTGAAAGTGGATATAACTATATTAATTTTGGATATAGATATAATAGATGCTGAATTAGGAAGATGCTATGTAGAAAAAAATACAGCAGGGAAAGAAGATGTTCAGGGACAGAATGGGATTAGGGTTCCGGAAAGGTCTCATGATTGTTATCATTGTATTTCTTGACGTCAGTGAATGTTGTATTCCACATTCTGTATCAGATGTTTCCTGCTCCCCTGCAACCTTGGCTACTGTCATTCTACAAAAGTTAACAAAAGTGGAAAAAATTATTATTCTCAGTGTTGATTATCAGATACAGACGTATACATGATCACGTTTTTTAAAGAAAAATACCAGCTTTAATGAAATTTATATTCCAGGATGGAATTGTTAATATGGGAAGACAAAGAGACTAGTAAACGGGATGGGATTAAACTTCCAAATAAATCTTTAAGGGCTTAGAATATATGTCAACCAGACACAGGTTCTTGGGTTTTTTTAACCCTAAATTCTACATATTTGCTTCTTTTTGAGATATTTTTCCTTCACTTATTATGGAGTTTACTGTTGAGGGGGAATGATAAAATGGGAAATAGTTGTATTTCTATTTTTAAAAGAAGGAGATACCTAGTTTTAGTTAAATAATAACAAATTGATGCTGTTCAGTTTCTCTTTCCTACTCTATCCTCCCTATTCTGAAATACCCTGAAAAATGTCATGATCTTACTCTCAGAATACATTCCACCAGATCGTAGTTGTAAAGTACTTACTCCCTTTTACCCTTTTAGCCATTATTTTTTCACCTTTTTTTTTTTTTGTAAGTAGGCGTCTCGCCCAGCATGGAGCCCAATGGGGTCTTAAACTCATGACCCTGAGATCAAGACCCAAGCTGGGAAAGAGTTGGACACTTAACCGACTGAGCCACCCAGGTGTCCCTAGCCAGTATTTTTTTTTTTTTTAACAAAACAATATAAACTAAAATATGCAGTCTTAACAAATTTGGTCTCCAAGCTGGATATAGCCTGGCATTAAGTAAATAGTCAATATTAATTAATATTAATTAATATTGACTATTTAATATTAATTGTTGTTGAAGTCTAAGACAGATCCTATTTGATTATGTTTTATTGTGACCGAGACTACTGTGGTAATCACCTATCTTAAAGTTTATTGTAATTGACAGATTTGTGATGATCTTCAAACCTTATCATTGTTCCTTGCAGGAGTCCAGTTACTTGCCCTTTTAGTTCCCACTTTGATCTCTTACCTGCTGGATGAAAATTCTTTTGCCTCAGCAAGCACAGTTTCCAAAGATCTTCATGAGTTTGCACTCCAGAATTTAATGCATATTGGACCTCTGTACCCACATGCTTTCAAGACAGTAATGGGAGCGGCTCCTGAGTTGAAAGTACGTTTGGAAACTGCTGTTCGAGCAAGCCAAGCCAGCAAAGCTAAAGCAGCCACCAGGCTGCCGACCCCTGCTGTACATTCTGCACCAACGATTAAGCTAAAAACCAGCTTTTTTTAACTTGATATTCCATTCATTTTTATTTACATTGTCAACTGGCAACTAATTAGTGATCGCCACTGTACCCTTCTGGGCTATAGGTTCTACTTCATTTGTATATGGGTATTGTATGTGTCTAAGTAGGTTAAGTAAAATAATGCTCATGCCATTTTCTGATTTGAAACGGGTGATTGTTTTTATCATGGGGTAGATGTGCTTTCCTTTTTTTTCCTGTAATGCTTCTTTTTTATTAATTTATTTTTTAAATACTGAGCCATAGTCTCTTAAATTTAAGTGCTAAAAACAATTGTATCATGTTGGGCAGCCTATTGGTATTGTCAGGAAAAAAAATAGGTCAATATTCAACATCTGTCATGAAAGAATTTAATTGAGAAACAAGCAGAATTTAGATTTTGAAGTAACTCAAATAATGGAAAATGTTTCATGTTGTATATAATATGAATAAAGTCACACTTTCTTAGCATTTCTCAGAATGTCCTTACCTTTCTGATAGATCTTTTTACTTCCATATTAGATAACTAAATTATGCCTGTATTTTAGTTGTTAGCTGAATTAAAGCTTTCATTGAAAGATCCATTAAAATGTTTCAAATGTGGAATAATGTTCTGCTTTTTTTTTTTATGGCTAAAATTTGGCCTTGGTTATGTTTTATAATTATAGAACAGAGCATTGAGTTCTGACTGTGATGGTTAGTTTCATTCATCAAATATTTATTGAGCGCCTACTGTGTATGAAGCATCAAGCTAAGTCCCGCAGGGCATACAAAAATGAATTTGTCATAATTATGATAAGGTCAGTCTTTTGTGAATCGGAATTTTACCCCATCCAATAGATAATTGATGAGATGAGTGTTTGCCAGAGTGTGGTTTTACCAGTATACCTAGACTGTAGTATCAACAGCAAGTCACCTTTCTGAATATTCCAGGTACATAACCTGTTTGTCATCTGCTGCCATCAACTCACTCTCATGCCCTCACCAGCTGGCAGCTCCCATCCCCTTGCTCCTTTTCCCAACCAAACATTTGCAGCTGGAGGAGGTTGCCCATAAAATGGTTCTGCCTTTGACAAGCTCTCTTATTTATTGTCTTTGGCAAGGCCTGGGTGCAAAGAACTTGTCCACCCTTTCCCCTTTTGGTGGCAGAAGTGTAATGGGGGAAGACTGGACCAGGGGATTGTCAGTCTTTAAAACTCGGAGAGGTGCTTTCCCCTGTTGTCTCACTTTCCTTTGTATCTACAGGGTTGTTTTTTCATTTCTGAGTTGCTTTGCTGAAGTTACTCTCCTTATTTCAGGGGTGGTTTTTGGGTCACAGTTGTACTGAGATGTAATTCAGACGTATATATCACCCATTTAAAATGTACAATTCAGTGGTGTTCAGTTTATTCACAGGGTAGAGCAACCATCACTACAATCAATTTCAAACATTTCCATTGCTCCCGAAAGAAACCTCATGGGATGCTCAGTCAGTTGAGCATCCAAGTCTTGGTTTCAGCTCAGGTCATGATCTCAGCGTCGTGAGATTGAGCCACGAGTTGGGAATCCACACTCAGTGGGGAGTTTGCTTGAGATTCTTTCCTTCTCCCTCTTTCTCTGCCCTTCCCCCAGCTTGCACACACACTCTCTCTTTCTAAAATAAATAAATCTAAAAATAAATAAATCTTAAAAAAGAAAGAAAGAAAACTCATACCCTTTAGCAATCACCCCATGATCTTTCCAATGCTCCCAAGCCTTAAACTACCATGGATCTACTTTCTGTTTCCATCAATTCTTCTGTTACAACCATCTCATATAAATGAAATCAGAGAATTAGTCTTTTGTAACTGGCTTCTTGACTTACTGGTTTTTTTTTTTTTTAACCTGTTTTTCTTTTTTAAATTTGTTTGGGGTTTTCTTAGCCTTCAAAAACCTTTATTGGGGGATAAACCTAGTTCTAATGGAAAAAGTCCACCTCTGAAAAAGGAGTTGTGGGTATGTAAGCTTGTCTGATGGACATTCATGACTTGTACATTCATGGCTCAAAATAAAGACCCTCAAACACAAATGAGTCTAAAGCCGTTACAACCCAAAATTGTGTGATTTGTTTACATGTGCTTATCTTAGCTCTTAAAATATGATCTGTGTAAGAGGAGCTGTACCTTCCTCATGATTCACAGAAGTACATGGCCATTAAAAGGGCGGGGGTGGCCCCCAAAAATGACAATTTAGAGTATAAGATTCTCCTCTCCACACTATTCAGTCCACATTTATCCAGGAGGAGAATGAAATACAATCAATGCCCAGGTGCCTCTCAAAGAGGCAAATGTGATTTGGAAATTTTTAGCACAATACATCTCAACTACTCTGGCTGCACATGAAGCCAGGATGCCCTACATGAGATGCAAAGAGATTGTGCCCACCACAGTTTGCCTCTAGCTCCTGTGCAAGATGCAGCTCCACTGTAGTCTGCATCATGTCACTTAGGGAAACGAGTGCCTTGTAGCAACCCTCATGCCTCATTAATACCAGTCTGTGGCCCTCACTGACTCAGTGGTGGGTTTTTTTGTTTTGTTTTGTTTTGTTTGTTTGTTTTACTAAAAACATCTGAAGAGGGGCAAATGGTTGCAACTGCCATCAGGTCACAGCAATTTCAAAAGCTGAAAAGGCTCTCTATCCCCTGGTCCAGTCTTCCCCCCGCTATTATACTTCTGCCACGAAAAGGGGAAAGGGTGGACAAGTTCTTTGCAACTGGGCCTTACCAAAGACAATAAATAAGAGGGCTTGTCAAAGGCAGAACCATTTTATGGGCAACCTCCTCCAGCTGCAAATGTTTGGTTGGGAAAAGGAGCAAGGCATGTGTACAAGACAGAGGGAGGAGGCCCTTTGTCAAGGGTTTGATGACCCAACCCCAGATGCCCAGCTTGGTGCCAGCAGACCAGGACCTACCAAAACCCACTATTCAGACAGAAAAGGAAGTGAAGACACCAAAAAATTAAAGTCAGTTCTGAAATCTTCACAGTTGACATTTGTTCTTTGTAGCAGTAAGCCCTTGAATGAGAATCCGGGAACTTGAGGAACACATTCCTTTCTTCAGGATTTAAAAAATTTTATCATGTACCGGAAGACTACATTCAGTGTGGATCAAGTCTAACAGTGTTTGCTAGAACTCGGTTGTTAGGCACACCTAGCACTGGGAGGAAACTTCGTCTAAGCAGAGTGACTGGTGGGCAGGCCAGAGGCCTTTCTTTCATTGGTGCCCAAGCTGAAAGTCCTGTCCCCAGTTGTGTCTTCCACCTCTACCATTCAGATCAGCAGCTCACCTCATGCTAGCAGGGGGCACACTGAATCCTGACATCCTCCTCTCCTGCTGGACAGCTAGCAGTACAAAAACAGGTGTGGATAGAAAATGTCTTCGTCCTAAGTCATTGGGTATCTGAACATGAGGAGGAATTAAAGATGTCCAACAAGATTTCCAATGAGCTCATTCATTACCGAGCTTCCCATGATATAGTTGAGTCCAAGGATAACCATGATAAATAATAGGCCTTAGCTTGTGTTTCAAACCAAAATGATACAATCATGTCTCTGTTCAGCTGGGCCCAGACATAAAGTACTGACACGATCAGAGGAATCATCAGCAACTTCATGTTCATTGCTAAGCTGGTCATCACGATGCAAATCCAGTTAAAGAGGAGCATGAGTAAATTGGCGGGTGACCTCCTATCAAAAGCTCCTGTTTCAAGTCCTGTAAAATACTGATACAAGAAAGAAGGCACCTGGGTGGCTCAGTTGGTTAAGCAACTGCCTTCGGCTCAGGTCATGATCCTGGAGTCCCAGTATCGAGTCCTGTGTCTGGCTCCCTGCTTGGCAGTAAGTCCGCTTCTCCCTCTGACCTTCTCCCCTCTCATGCGTTCTCTCTCTCTCTCTCAAATAAATAAAATCTTTTAAAAAGAGAGAGAGAGAGAAACTGACCAAATAAAGAAATCTTAATTCCTGGACAAACAGGGAAATACAAGGTGGCAGTGATTGCCCTTCAAATCTGAAAGTGATAGGGGAAGTCTTCTTCAGGCCAGAGGAAGAAGGAGGCGGGCTGATGAGACAAGGTTTGCCAACAAGGGCACCACGACAGTGGTGACCAACCAACAGGGCACGATGGCCAGGATGCTCCTGAAGCAGTCCCTTATGTGGCACATCTTCACCTTTTAGGTGGCTGGGATGTGCACAGCCGCCCAACTCCCCATCCCTAGCCTCTCACCACACGGTCCCCTCTGTGAGTGAAAGGTGTGGAGGAGGAGGCTGCCCAAGCTCGGGAGAAGAAGGCGGAGATCCCGGATGTGTGCCACCCTGGACTTAAAATGTTTTTAAGCTTCATCCATGTGGTAGCATACATCAGTACTTCCTCCCTTTCTGTGGCTGGATACTACTCCACTGTATGTGTACTGCATTTTGTTTATCCATTCTCCAGTGGATGGACATTGGGTTGCTTCCCCCTTTTGCCTATTAGGAATAATCCTGCTGGGAACACCTGTGTGCAGGTTTTGGGTGGACATGTGTTTTCATTTCTCTTGGGTATACACCTAGGAGTGGAATTGCTCACTCAATGGTAACTAACTCTTCAGCTTTCTAAGGAACTGCCAGACTGTTCTTCAATTGCTTGTTTCTTGTTTTTTGCACACTAAACCCCTTTTCACTCGCCTATTTATGAAGTATAAAGTTTATTTCTGCCTTGGCTATTTCCTGCCATCCCAGACTTCTCCCATCATTTCCCACCTTGAGATAGACTGCATCATGCATTAGCAATGATTCTCTTTTTTTTTTCTCCCTCTCTCCCTCAGTACCTACCCCCTCCCTTCTTCCTTCCTCCCTTCTTCCTTCCATCCTTCCTCCCTCCCTCCCTTCATTCCCTCTCCCCAGAACTACTCTGTACTTTCTCTAAACTCTTCTGAGCCACTGACAACCCAACTTCTAGTTTTCTATGATAATATTTATAAAAGATGCTCTGTTTGAAGAATTAGATTTATGAATTTGGTTCACTGCCCGATCCTTGAGATTCTTCTCAACCCAAATAATCATACTTAATTGGTTCTAAATATCCAGTATCAGGAAACTAAAAGAAATAGCATCAGGACAGCTAATGGATTCTTTCTGAAGCTTAATCTGAGCAGTTTTAACATTAAATAAAGTATTTTCTATTTAATTTCCAGGTTCTTGTTAATACTGTCCATTTGAATTCTGAATTCAATTAGAGAAAACTTAATGGAAGTCAGGTTTCTCTTTTCCAAATAGGTTCTCCTATCAACTAGGGATAGAACTTCAGAAAACCTAACCTTTTGGGGTCTTCAGTTCCCTCATCTATAAATTAGAGGAAAACTTACTAGGTATTCTGTGATCTTCTGCAAATCTAAAAAGTACATGACTGTGGAATTATACTGCTTATTTTTACCAAGAGAGTGAGTCTTTGGCCAGTCCTTTAGTATTAACATATCATATATTTAGTCTAATTAATAGTTTCTACATGTGTATAAAATAGCTATCCTAGTAGGACAGCATAAAATACACTAAATCCAGAGAGCAGTTAAAATACAGCAGATTATCATGGTCAAGAAGAGCTGCCCTTTCTGCTGTGCACCAGGCACCATGCTAGACACTTTATATCCATTCCTACTTTTCATTCAAACAATGCTGACTGAGGTCTGCAATTAGCCCAATTTTCGAAACACATTTAATTATATGAATCACTATGCCTCACATTTTCTTCATTCTTAATTGGAATTTTTAGGCTGTTGCCAGAAATGGCTAGAGTACAGCTATAAATAAAATTCTTGCCTTAATGTTTTTCATCACATGGATTATTTTAAAAACCTAATTTCATCATTACAAACTACTTCTAAATTCATAATTATTATGAAATATAATTAAATAATTATAAAATTATTCTTATGGGCTTCACAAAATTTTACTTAAAAACTTCATGTCTTAATCATAATTTCTTAATCATAAGAAAAATTATCCTGAGCTAAGTTTTTGGCGCTGTTGCTAAACAAATACATGAGAACCATGCATGCATAAATGACCAGTATAACCCTTTTTTTCTTTCCTTTCAGGAAAAGTTTTCACAGTCTTCATCCCCTATCCACAATTCTCAATCTCTTTTTGCCATTGGAGTGCATGGGTTTCCATTTCAGACATTGTGTCCATCAAACACATATACCCAGTTTGCTCTTTCCCCCCTTGACTTTCAATGTAAGTCAAGAGAATCCATGAAAACTTAAGTAAATTTATTTGGCTTTTCAAGCTTGTGGCTTTGATTGTTCATTCTTTCTTTAAATCTCTTCCTTCATTCCAACTTATTTCCATTTGTATAGGAAAATACCTCTCTTATTTGTGAAACAACAAAAACAAAAAAAAAAGGCATGACTTTAATCTTATCCAATGAACATAAATGTAGAGTTAGAGGAGGAAGGAAAATCATTTCATATATTATTATAAATCAATTTTAATTATAAAATTTGCATTCATTAAATTTTTGGGAAAAGTATCACAATTCACTACACAGACCAAATTACTATTGATATTTTAGTTTAGTTCCTTCCACATTTGCAATCATCCTGAGGTAGAATGTTGTATCTGCTTCTGCCCACCTATTTTATAAGCATTTTCCCATAGAATTGCTCTAATAATACTATGGGATAGATTTAATAACCATCATTTTTTATCACTACTTAATGTGGATGTACCACTATTGACTTAGCCATTACCCTTTGCAGGGGGTACTTGGTTTCTAGTGCTTACATTTTCATAAATAATGCTGCATTGACTTTTAAAAAATGAAACTGTAGATTATTTCCTTGGGATAGATTTCTTTTCAAAGGGGTTATAAAAATACGACACATTTTAAATTTTAAGACACATGGCCGAATTTTAGAAAGTGATGCTTTTTAAACTGACAGATGTGAAAATGAAACTGGGTCATTGTTTTCCAAATTCCAAGAAAATACCTGAGAATGTCATTAAATCACAAATATTTGGGTATACCTAAGCATTTTTTATAAACGTCATTCTAGCTGACTGTACATCATTATGAAGCTAGCTTAAATCATCATGAGGCTTAATGGAATTTGGCTGCTTTTAGTAAAAATACACTAGTTAAAACAAGGAAGGTGACAGTACTACTCTACGCATTGAACAACCCAGTCTGTATGTGTGAGGTCAGGGCTGAGGTCTGGACAATTAGCTTCAGGTGCCACATACCAAGAGCAATGATAGACTGGTGTATGTCCAAGCCAGGGGATAAAGAGGAACTGAGAAAAAAGAAGGGCAGGCAGGCTGGTCATTCCTCTTCAGATGGGTAGACCAGATAACTGATTGCACCAATAGGTCAATGTCTCAAGTGAGTGGTCTGCAATCAAATGTAAAATGAGAATTTCCCAAGAGAGCTGTTAAAAATGATTGCCTGATGATAGTGCATTCCTTGACGCTGGACAAGGAAAACTTGAATTCTTGTTTGTCAAAGAGTTGGTGGTAAGATAGTCTAATGCTGTCTCGTTCATTGGACATTTATGTATGAAACACCTATATGCCAGACACTGGGAATAAAATAATGAACAGCCAAGCAAAGAATCTGCCATGATATATTTGCACCTTACCTGATGAGAGATAAGAAATAGTCACAGGTTGTGATAAGTAGTTGGAGGGAATTTATGAAGTATGGTTTGATAAAGAATAGGCAGGGATTTCTTCCTTTTTTAAGTTTTTAAAAATATTATTAAGTAATCTCTATACCCCACGAGAAACTTGAGCTCAGAACCCCAAAATCAAGAGTCACATGCCCCTCTGACCAAACTAGCTAGGTGCGCCAAGACAGGGATTTCTACATAAATCTACATAAATCTACATAAATCTACAGACTCCCATCTGCTCTTCACACCTGAAATGTGACTACCTACCACTGGTGGTCTCAGAGATTCCTCAAACTCAATTAATTTAAAATCGGATTCTTCACCTCTATATTTTATTTTTTTAAAGATTTTATTTATTTGACAGACAGAGATCACAAGTAGGCAGAGAGGCAGGCAGAGAGACGGGGGAAGGCAGGCTCCCTGATGAGCAGAGAGCCCAATGCAGGACTCGATCCCAGGATCCTGGGATCATGACCTGAGCCAAAGGCAGAGGCTTAACCCACTGAGCCGCCCAGGCGTCCCCCTTCACCTCTTTATCTACAAACTAACTTTTCAACACTCATGATCTCCCAAGAAATCTCACAACAATTTTATCCTGTTGTGTAAGACATAAATCTTGGTGTCTTGGTATCCTGCTTGACACTTCCCACCTCACTGTGCTTAGTTCATCAACAATTTTCCTAAATATCTTGTCAGATCCCTCCAAGTCTTTACTGCCATCATCACCTTCCTAGTCCAGATCACCACATCTGGCTGCACTGCAGCAAAGTGGTGGGTGTGGACTGCAGGGTCAGTTTTCCTGCGTTGGAATCTGGCTCCATTACCTACAAGCTGTGTAACCTTGGGGAAGTCACCCTTCCTCTCTGTGCCTCGGTTTCCACATCTGTGAAGTGAAAATAACAATACCTATTTTATAGAGTAGCTGTGGATAAAATAAACTGATATTTGCAAATGACCTTCAAATAGTGCCTGCCCTTAGAAAACAATTTAGAAATGTCAGTTAATATTGTGTTTTCCACACAGAAACTGAGATG